AACTAAACAGACGAAAGTAATTAACTGTTTATTGATTCACCTTTTTCTTTCACGTATACCTTCCGTACAAATTGGCGAAAACTAACTTTGTTTTAGTCCTATTCCTGAGTTTTAGTTTTAATCGTTATATACGTGTAGTTTTAGTTTTAATACCAAAACCACGTTTGAGTGACTAAAACCACGCTAATGAAAAGTGATTTACTCTATTTTGATACTGTCAAGCTGAATTAGGACTGTAGGACTGATTGGTTGTCCTCACGTGTTTCCTACTTTACGCGATGTTATTCAATTCAGTCGTTATGTCTCGAACCTCTGTGATATTTTGTTCATTATTTCGTCAGAAATACCCAATTCCGTTTATTGAGAAATAAACATGTTGCCAGCAGCAGCCGAATAGTTGATTTGTGAAAAAGTAGCAGAAGTGCTATATTATGATATTACCACTTGTTTTATCTAAACATATATTTATCTAGCATATATAAGCCATTCTCTTTCTAAAAGCAGATGTTATGTCCAATATGATAATACTCTTTGCTTTACCGTCTTCCTGGGCACTTGTTTGATCCATAGCAGTGACTTCACTCGGTTCTTGTGATCGACAATCGCGACGGTAAAGTGAGAGAATAATACATTAATCTGAAACATTTTGTGGTAGTATAGAATTGAGAGAGTAGTTCAAATGGGAGAATTTAAACATTATCTCTAGGCTACAGCCGGGACCGGTGGAAAACGTCTCATAACGGAGTGTGTCGCATAAGTCAGAGGTCATTGTATATGTTTTTAAAACGCATTCAGTTTAGCGGATATTTCTCTTCCCCCTCCAAATTTAAATTTTAAAAGCACTTGAATCAATAAATTTTAAAATATCAATTGCAGTTGAATTTTCTTTTTTGCAACTAAATACGTATTATCTTCTTACCATTGTCCTTGGAACTACTACTGCGGTTGAAACAATAAATTCATTAAGATCTAAATAAGCAAAACAGGTGGATAGATCAATTATCATTTATGTTTCCTTTTGATATTTAAACGTTTTTATTTATTGGTTTTTAAGTACCGTCTCCTCATTTTAGAAGTTTATGTGAATTTTCGAATTACCGCGTAATGTGGAATTAAAAGATTTCTTCATTTCTGAACGGAAAGTTCTAAAATTTTTATACAGTAGTAACTTTATTTTGCATTTTAGAGAATTTTTACTCTCTGTAATTTTATAAGTTTTGATTATTATTACATGTTCAATATTTATTTTTTTTATTTTCAATTACTGTATTTGTAATATTTACAGAAAAAATATAAATTACACAAATTTTTAATAAGCGATTTATTATGAAATATAGTACTGTGTAAAAAATCCCAACTGATACAGTAGAACCTCGAAAACTCGGCCTAATGTGGACCGAAGGGTGGCCGAGTTTGTGAAAATGCCGGGTTATCGGGAATGGGGTTAAAAAAAATAAGTACGAGTGTTTCCTCAGAAAATACTGTACTGTACTTGTATGTATTGTTTACTTGAGAATATAACAGAGAATAAACTGCCCAAATACCCTTAAACAAAGGAAAAGTAC